TGTCTCAAAAAAAGAAAAGAAAGTGTTTAAAAATTATACAAACACTATTGTATAGCACAAGAGTGTGTTGAATTAAGGGAACTGCTGGCTGTCAAGCTTTGCCACTGTCTATTAACTCAACACTGGTGTTCTTGTTCATTTGCTCATTTATAGAAGTCCAAATACGATTTAAGTCATGTAACTTATGAGTAATCATGTCTCATAATGATAATGAAATGAATGAATGGACAGTTTAGTGATTAATGAATAAGAGTTTGGGACCTCTTACGTGGTATAAAATAAAATATGTCACATGATATCACGTGACATAAGATAAACCATTAGGTACATGTTGAAATTATCTAACATTTGATGCAGTTTTTTTATGGTCCATTTTATTTACATCAAATGTTTATTTTCTGCATCCTCTCTACAGTAGTTGTCCATGCATTATTGGTTTGTAATGCTAGCACAGAGCTGACTACTTTGAAAAACATTCAGGACTACTTTAATCCAGCTACTCTACCTCTAACACAGCACCTGTTAACAATGTAAGTCATTAATTATCTGGGTTATTGGTATGAAATGATAACTAAAAGTGAATACGAAAATGCAATAGGAATATGTTGCCTAAATGTTTCCAGTAAAATCTTAATTATCTTTCAGACTATGGGATTCTTGTCAATCAGTAGTTAGAACGAGAAAGGAATATGCGTCATTTTCCATCTATCTATCTGTGTCTATTTGTTATGGTTTGAGCTAATAAATGTTACTGCAGTTTTCTTCCTTTTTTAAAATTTTAAAGCATTTTTATTTTTTTTAAATACAACTAGTATTTTATTTTTTGCAGTTGTTTTTCTTTGGCTGGGGTCAGGTTTGAACTCTCCACCTCTGGAATATGGGGCTGGCACCCTACTCCTTGAGCCACAGGCGCTGCCCCGTTTTTTTCCTTTTATCAAAGAATAATGTCTTAAAGATTATTTGAGTGTTAATTTTTTTTTTTATCCACCTGTTTCATGTTTTTATAGCACAAATTATTTAATTTTTATTTATTTATTTTTTTAAGACAGAGTCTCACTCAGTTGCCCTGGGTAGAGTGCTGTGGCATCATAGCTCACAGCAGCCTTGAACTTTTTGGGCTCAAGAGATTCTCTCTTCTTAGCTTCTGGGTTAGCTGGGACTAAAGTGCCTACCACAGTGTTCTGTGATTTTTTTTAGAGATGGGCTCTCACTCTTGCTCAGGCTGGTCCCAAACTCCTGAGCTCAAGCGTCCACCCACCTTGGCCTCCCAGAGTGCTGGGATTATAAGTATGAGCCACTGCGCTTGGCCCTAAATTCTTTAACATTTAAAAGAATTACTTTACAGCTTGAATCCAGTGTGTATATTGATACTGATTTTATTCTTGACATTACCATATCTCATTTTCAGTTTCTCAGCACCAAGTCCTTTTATAAAAAGGTAGAAGTGATATTATTGGCCTTTTGCCTACTTGCCCTGGCAATGGAATTCTGTTCACTGTCTATGGTGAATGTATCCAGCTTTATAAATTTTCTTACTTTGTAAACTTATCTTTCTCTTCCTCAATAAACTTTGTTCCATGTTTGCAAAAAAAAAAAAAGAAGTGATATTACATTAAATGCATTAAGATAATAGAAAATGTCAAAATTTCAGTTTGGAATATTATTCTATATATCTTTAGTTTACTTTTCTCACCATAATAAAGTCCTAGGAAAAAATAAATGTCCTTATGATTCCATTATTTATCCAATTTGAAATGAAATGAGTCTCTATAGAAATAAAAATAAAACCAATTCATGTATTTTCCCTGAAATAGAGGCTACATTAAATATCTAAGTGAGGTTTGTATAATAGAGCATGAGCTTTAAAGTCAGTCTACCACTTATTAGTAAAATAGTAATATTTCTCTATCTCTATTTGGGAAAATTAACTACTTTCTAATGTTCCTGTGAAGACTTTATCAAGTAATATGCTAGTGCCAGCACATCCTAGTTACTCATCAAACGGTAATTCTTTTTTACCCTCCTCCAAATTATATACATATCCATTTATGTCTTGTTCTTATTAACAAAAAGTTGTCTGTGATGTTTACAAATGTTTACAAAGTGATGGTTAAGTTATGAAGTAATCTACGCACCTTTTCAAAGCCCCTAATTTTTTAAAAATTTTGTTTGCTACCTTTTTATCAGGTCTTTCCCAACTGCAGCGAGCAACCAAAGAGTCATTAAAAGAAAATTTATCCCGCCAGCCTTCACAAAGATCAATACAAAATTTGAACTGTTCAGCCTAGGGGCAACGCTGAAGTTAGCTAGTGAGTTAATGCAGGCACATAAGTTAAATAAGGATCAAGCTACAGCTTTAATGCAGATAGCTCAGATGGTGGCGTCACACGAAAGTGCTGAAGAAGTGAAGGAACTGCAAATCCACACCCTCCCTATCACCATCATACATGGTAAGAAGCGGGAAAGAGAACAATTCTAACAAATGTTATTATATGTAAGCTTTTGTAACTCAGTCTGCTCCTTTATACTTTTCTATTTCAAACAAGGTTTAAGAATAATTATAAGTACATTTATTTTTTTTAACCTGAAGTCACTTTGGTAAACTAATTGTTTCAGAGCAGTACTGATTACCCTAACTGGGAAAAGTGGCAGCATATCTGATGAATGAGCAGTATTATATACTTAAGGTGTATCCAGATTTGATCTAGATGTCTACATGTTGCACCACTACAGTGGTCTTCAACTTTGATCAATAAAACTTATTAATTCTTAGTCAGCTCTCTCTTCTGTCTGTCGCAGCAGCTGTTCCAAACCTTCATTCCTCTCATAACCTTGTCCCTTCCTTTATCTGTTTTGGTTCTGTCCCAGCGAAGAAGCTTTACTTCTTCCTATTCAGCGTGAATACTTCCATCTAGATCAGCGGTTTTCAACCTGTGAGTCGCAACCCCTTTGGACTGTATTAAAGGTTCGCAGCCTTAGGAAGGTTGAGAACCACTGATCTAGATTATGTCATAGCACGCTTTTTTCACAGACCTCTACCCCAAAGCTGATCCTACTTTTTTGTCCCATTTTGAGGAATTACCTTGGATCCACCACATTTACCAAATCAATATCTGGGAACCTTGATACATTTTTCTTTTTCTCTGGATTAAGTGAATCTGTCTTAGTCCTACTCTCTTACTGTTCATCTTCCCTTCCCCCTTCCCCATTAGATCAGTCCCTGAGATGTGTCCCTTCTAGCTTCTTTCCATCTCTCATATGGATTGACTCTTTTTAGTTTACTTCAAACCCCTCCCCTCCAATCTCCCAGTCTTCATCATATCTCCATATAGTCTAGTGAGTAAGAGTGTGAGCTCTAAAGCTAGAATCCTGGATTTATGTCCTGGCTCTGTCATTTGTTACCTGTATGACCTTGGATAGGCTACTTATCTCTTAGCTTTAAGTTCCTGCTCTGTAAAATGGGGATCAAAATAGCATCTACCATATAGGGTTAGAGGATTAAATGAGTTAACATAGGTAAAGGGTTTAGAACAGTGCTTGGCACATGGGAGGCACTTAGTAAAGTTAGCATTTACTATTGTTATCTCACACAGCTTTCTCGCTAATTACTGTTAGTTTTACCTTTCTTCATAAATTCACCCAAGTTGTTTTTCTGAAACACAGTCTGATTAAATCAGTCTCATTACTTAAAATTCTTCAATGACATTCCTGGCTTTTAAGATAAAATTTAAACTTTTTTAGCTGTAACAAGCCAAGCTTTTCTGATTTACCCTCTTGCCTACCTCTTCAGCCTCATCTCTTTCCTATTTGCTATATGCTATAGAAATACCTTTTTTCTTTTTTTGAGACAGAGTCTTAACTTTGTCACCCTTGGTAGAGTGCTATGGCATCATGGCTCACAGCAACCTCCAACTCTTGGGCTCTAGTGAGCCTTTTGCCTCAGTTTTTCTACTTTTAGTGGAGACAGGGTCTCACCCTTGCTCAGGATGGTCTGGAACTCCTGAGCTCAAGCAATCCACTTGAGCCCAGCCCTATATAGAAATATTTAAAGTAAATTACTGTCTCACTTAAATTAATCTATATCACAAGCCTTTGTGATCAGAATTAATCTTTATAATGAAGTACTTTAGGTACCAGAGTGATTTTTTTTCAAATGATTGGATAAAGGTTCAGTTGTCTTGACTAACAACAACAAAAAAACCCTTAAGTTTCTTTTAATAGTTAATTACATGTTTTTCATGTCTCTGCCTAGAATAGCCCTTTCTCTAAACAGTTAAATATCTTATTCAGTGAGACTTAGTTCTGCTACTTCTTACTTTTGAGAAGTATTCCCACTTCTACCAAAGAAGAAGTAGATGTTTTTCCTTTTTAACCCTGTAACATTATTAATTACCTTATTATTTTATCATTATTCTTTTCCTGGTCTGTCATCTTAAGTACACTATGGCCTCATTAAAAGTAGAGGTATTTTGGTTGTTTATCTTTTATCCCTTGTGTTTAACACATAGTGAGCATTCAGTGTCTTTTGAAGAAATTATTAATTAAATGAAGAAAAGAGGAGATGGATGAAATATTATATGGCTTGTGCTTTCAGAAATTTATTATGATGTTGCTTTTATATTTTCCCCTTATTTTAAAATAATTAGGTGTTTTTGGAGCAGGAAAGAGTTATTTGTTGGCAGTGGTGGTTTTGTTCTTTGTACAGCTATTTGAAAAGAATGAAGCTCCTGCAGTTGGAAATGCAAGGCCATGGAAACTTCTGATTTCTTCTTCCACTAATGTTGCTGTCGACAGAATACTTCTTGGGTAGGTATGACAAGCGTATTTAAGTAGCTAATGTTTTAAGTTATTATTATCAAGACAACACAGGCCCTACATGTCCATGCATTGTTTTTGCCAGGTATGCCAAGAATACAAGGCCTTTGTCTCAGACAGGAGTCAGTATCTATGAAATAGCAACAGGCTAACTAATTTAACTAATTAGTTTATAAGTAGGATAAAATCAAATACCAGACCTGACAATTTTGACATAATGATATTCATGTAAAAATTCAAGTTCATCCAAGTCCTCGTGGGGTGGTTGGGGTAGGCCATCTGCCATTGGCCTTGAGCATCCCTGCTGGGATGCCAAAGATGCAAGACCCTGGCCACTCTTCCCTAAGACACTTCTCAGGGTTGTGTTTGCAACAAGCAACTCTGATTGATGAGGAAATGAATGTTTCCCTCTAGGGCAAAGAATAGGTTTGCTGGCTTGGCACCCATAGCACAGTGGTTACAGCCCCAGCCACATACACCGAGGGTAGAGGGTTCGAACCTGTGCCAGGCCAGTTAAACAACAATGACAACTGCAACCAAAAATAGCTGGGTGTTGTGATGGGCGCCTATAGTCCCAGCTACTTGCGAGGCTGAGGCAAAAGGATTGCTTAAGCCTAAGAGTTGGAGGTTGCTGTGAGCTGTGAGGCCACAGCACTCTGCCAAGGGCAGCATAGTGAGACTCTGTCTCCAAAAAAAAAAGAATAGGTTTGCATACTACTTGTTATAAAAATAGTGGATCCTGAACTTCAGTGTTCCTGTCCTACACCTCAGGCCATTGTATTTACAAACATCCATATGGACCCTTTGCATCTCTCTGTGTGACTCGAGAGCCAGGGAAACTAATAGAAATATGTTGATGCTTACGCTGCCCTTGTGTTACTAGTAAAAGTCCTTTGTCTCTGACCCAGAAGTCTTGAGTCTATTACCTTAGAAGTAGGCTAAAATCAAATGCCACAACTAAAAGTTCTAAATTAGTCTCTTGTTCACCTGCCTGTATATATACATAATAGTAAAATAGCTGAACAGTTTAAGCAAATTGTATTTTTTTTTTTTTTTGGAGACAGAGTCTCATTATGTTGCCCTCTGTAGAGTTCTCTGGCATCACAGCCCACAGCAACCTCAAACTCTTGGGCTTAAACGATTCTCTTCCTCAGACTCCCAAGTAGCTGGGACTACAGGCGCCCACCACAAATTCCAGCTATTTTTGTTGTTGTTGTTGTAGTTGTCATTGTTGTTTAGCAGGCCCAGGCTGGGTGAGAGCCGAGCTCATAAATTGTATTTTTTATTTCAGTAAAGAAGGATCCAAAGAAGGCAGTAACAATCTGTTCTGCAGATATAAAATTTTTGTGAGTGTATAAGGTGTTATTAAAAATACAAAGAAAATAATAATATTTTATCAATATTCCATTGTTTAATGATCTGAATTACCACATAAATGACAATGTTTGATCAGGAGAAGTAATTCATTATTTATAAGTATTTTAAAAAGTCAACTTTTATAGCTCATGCCTGTAATCCTAGCACTTTGGGAGGCCAAGGTAGGAGGATTGCTAGAGCTCAGGAGTTCAAGACTAGCCTAAGCAAGAGCAAAACCCCATCTCCATAAAAAATTGACAAAATTAGCCAGGTGTTGTTGTGGTGGCTGCCCGTAATCCCAGCTACTTGGGAGGCTAAGGCAGGAGGAGCACTTAAATCCAGAAGTTGGAGGTTGCTGTAAGCCAGGCTGATGCCATGGCATCTATTGAGGGCAAGAGAGTAAGACTCACCCAGCAAATGCAAGCAGTAGAACTTGGCTCATTGTATCCTCAATGATTCCCCAACAATAAAAAAAAAGAGAGAGAGAGTAAGACTCTGTGTCAAGAAAAAAATTTTCAATTTATTTTATAATTATGTAAATTAATGCTTATAGTAGAAAACATGCAGACTATATAGATTTTTATTGTATCTCTTTACAGATTTCTTTTCTTCTTTTTTTTTGAGACAATCTCACTGTGTTGCCCTCGGTAGAGTACTGTGGCGTCATAGCTTACAGCAACCTCCAACTCTTGGGCTTAAGTGATTCTCTTGCCTCAGTCTCCCGAGTAGCTGGAACTACAGGTGCTCGCCACAACACCTGGCTTTTTTTTTTTTTTTGGTTGCAGTTGTCATTGTTGTTTAGCAGGCCCCGTCCAGTTTCAAACCTGCCAGCCTTGGTATATGTGGCCGGCACCCTAACCACTGAGCAATGGGCACCAAGCCTATAGATTTTTTAATATACACACACATTTTGTTTTCCAAACTGAGATTCAAGAATACATACTGTTTTGCAGTTTTCTTTTTTATTGAAAAGTTATTTCTCTATGATATTAAATCTTCTTAGGAAACATTTTTTTCCTAACTCTATTATATTCAATGATACACTTATACCATACCTTAAGCAATGATATACTTATACCCTACCTTACTGATTTTTGATCAGTAAGTTCTTTCTATATTTTCGCCATTATAAATTATATTATGGCAAAGATCCTTAATCAGAAATCTCTATTCCTATTTCTGATTCTTTCCTTTGGAAAAGTCCTGAGGCTAAAATAAAAGATATAAACAGTTTTTTTCTTTTCATTCATATTGGTCACAAGATACAAACATTTTTAGGCTTTTAATAATGCTTCGCAAAATTGCCCTTCAGAAAGGTTATGCCAGTCTGCATTCTTACAAGTAATTTTAAAGAATGGCTGTAAACGACATTTTTTTTTAGATGGAGACTCACTTTGTTGCTCTGGGTCTGGGTAGAATGCCATGGCTTCATAACTCACAGCAACCTCATACTCTTAGGCTCAAGCAATTCTCTTGCTTCAGATTCCGAGTAGCTGGGACTATAGGTGCCGGCCACAATGCCTGGCTATTTTTAGAGACGTGGTCTTGCTCTAGCTCAGGCTGGTCTCAAACTCATGGAGCTCAGGCAATCTGCCCTCTTCAGCCTTCCAGAGTATTAGGATTACAGGCCTGAGCCACCATGCCCGGCCTACTAGACAACATTTTTTGATTTAAGATAGCGAGGAGTTACTGGAGAACTTTAGATTGCTTAGTCTGAGATGAAAATTTAACTCTAGACTGTAAGACAATTAAAAAACAATTCAAGAAGTTAGAATGAAGAGGGAAGGTAAATACTGAACAGTAGAAGTTAACAGGAAGGCTTTAAAAGAGATTCTTTTTTTTTGAGACAGGAGCCTCAAGCTGTCCCCCTGGGTAGAGTGCCACAGCATCTCAGGTCACACTCAGGTCAACTCCTGGGCTCAAGCGAGTCTCCTGCCTCAGCCTCCCAAGTAGCTGGGACCACAGGCGCCCGTCGGCTATTTTTTTGTTGTTGTTGTTGCAGCCATCATTGTTGTTTGGCGGGCCCAGGCTGGATTCGAACCTGCCACCTTGGGTGTATGTGGCTGGTGCCTTAGCCACTTGAGCCACAGGCGCCAAGCCAAAAGAGATTCTTTAATGTTAAAACCTCTGATAAGGAACTGAGAAATGTGGAACTGTAATTAAGATCTAATCCTTAATTCCTTTTACTCACTCATACATTTTTTCAACTGAAGTAAAATTTTCCTCATGTTCTTGAACAGACCATATATTCCTATTGGAATGGATAGTGTAGAACAGTTTCTTGAGAAGAAATGAAAGAGCCTGGGCAAATAGTGGTACCATCCTCATAGTACTGCACCCTTTATTATTCCAGATTTAACACAAACTTGCATTGAAAAAAATCTAAGCTACTATTTCAGACTGAAAAATAGCTGAGTATTCTCCAAGATAAAGCTTGTGAAAAATGTAAAAATTGAAATCTATTTATGTAATAACACAAAAATAGTTTTACAATTATTTTGGAAAATTATGTTGGAGAGTAATAGTTTAGTTCTCTGGCTTTTAAAATTCCCATTTTGAGACGGTAGAAGATGTTTTGGAGGCTAGGGTGTCACTGAGCTCTAATTCTATTCCTAATTTAAAGCTGTAAGATATATAAGAAGGAACGGTAGCTGGAATCCTTCTTCAAAACGCTCTAACTGGGGGTTATGTGGTAAAGGAATGCTCATAGCTGTTGCGTGTAGACGGACAGACTTGCCCAGGTTAGAAAATCGTGGTTGACTCCACTTACTAGCTAGGTTACCTCACCCCTAAGATCATGTAGAGCTGTAATAAATAGTAAAGGTAATATATGTAAAGACGCTCTTCCTAATAAATCTCCATGCTAATATATGGTAGCTATTGCTTTCCATGTTATGTTGTCAGAGACACTTTCATTTGTGATAAATACTAACATTGATATTTTACAAACTTTTGATGAGGCTTCAACATAAAATGTTTTACAAACTTTTAATGAGGCTTCAATATATAATTTTATATATTTTAAAATTCTTTAGAAAATGCATCATATATATAAAAAAATCTTTCAACTACATTGTATTTACTTTGAGTTTAGGCATTTCACATTAAATTATGTTAACAAAAATATACTATTACACAAGGTTAATTTTGATAACATAAATGTGTGAAACTTTGCTTTTGTTTTAAATAATGAAAATCAATTTTATACTGCTTTCTTTGAAGGCTTCTCAGTCTTGGATTTGAAAAGTTTGTCAGAGTTGGGAGTATTAGGAAGATTGCCAAGCCAATTTTACCTTATAGGTAAGAATGCTTACCTCCAGAAGTCACAGAACATTCAGAGACAAAGATGGTAATTTTATATAACTCTTAAACCTTAAATATGGTTTTTGAAGAAGAGCAGAGAAAGCCTTATCTTTTTCTTGTATCTGCATTTGGATTTTTTGTGGTGTTATGAAAAATGAAATACAGAGGGGTTGGTAAAATGCAGTTCTTTCTTTAGCTTGCATGCTGGCTCAGAAAATGAAAACGAACAATTAAAAGAACTACATGCACTAATGAAAGAAGACCTGACTCCTGTGGAAAGAGTCTACGTGAGAAAAAGTATCGAGCAGCATAAACTGGGAACCAACAGAACCCTGCTGAAGCAGGTACCAGGGAGGAGCTTCAGTGTGGGTCTTTATACCAGCTGTTCGGATTCTCTTATTTCTGCCAGTGGATATTGACTTTAAATAAAACAAACTGCTGTGATAGTTTAGATTCAACGAAAGAGTGTGCATGTGGATGGATGCCTTGGATATAGTCTGCCAGTGTACATTTTATGTTTGCTTCAAAGCATTCTTTAGATCTCAACAGATCTAACTCACCAGGACTTAGTGATCTTTTCTCCTCCTCATTTGCATATCTTTTTATAGGTTTCAATAGGAAAGTAAATGTAGTGATAAAGTGACCTGTGATTTCCAATTGCCAGGAAATTAGAACTAGCTTGCTGTCTGATTTTAGCCTACCCGTACTTTGGTAAAATGTTCTCTTATTTTCTGAGTTGTTAATTAATAACATTTTTGTTGTACTAAAGGTTCGAGTAGTTGGAGCTACCTGTGCAGCCTGTCCATTCCCATGCATGAATGACCTTAAATTTCCAGTGGTTGTATTGGATGAGTGCAGTCAAATAACTGAACCAGCCTCGCTCCTTCCCATTGCAAGGTAATCTCCTACGAGCGCTCAGATGTCACAGTTATTTCAAACATTTCCTCAGTTCAGACTTAACTGAACAGACTCAACTGAAACTTGAGTTTCACTAAACTTTTTTTGTGAAAATTCTTAGTGATTCAAGTAGTAAACTTATATTTTAAAAGTATACAGAGGGAAACTGGTGGAAAGGTTAATGTATCAAAATTTTGTTAGATCGCAGTTTAGACATCTGGATGGTATAATCCTTAAAGCATTTATAGTTCTAGTGCTAGGATTCTACTAGAACTTTGCAAATTTTGTAACTGGGTAGATTAAAGATTGCTTTATAGTTATAGCTTGAGAACCTGACTCCACTGAAGAATGTCCTTCAGTTTCCTTACCTTAATATAATTCATGTTTAGGTTTTGAAAACACTTTTTAGATTATGAAAGGATACAAAATGTGAAATGAAAAACAAGTCGAAAATAAAAACTTGTCTCCTAAAATTAGAAGACAGTGAAATCTTCTAAGCTGTCCTAGCCAGCTGAAACATTGTGCTTTTAAAGCGTCTCTTACTGGGACATCTAAAGGTAGTGGAAAGAATACCAGACTAGGACTCAGTAGACCCAAGTTCTAGTCCTTGCTCTGTGCCTAATGAGGGAGCAGAATACCAACTCTCATAGTTTGCTTATTACAGATTTAATCTGGAGGGTTCCTAGATCCTGGGACTTTCCATCTTTAGGATGAGTTTGTCACCCTACTCAGGAGCCAAGGATGGAAGAGCAGCAGAGGGTAGAGGGGTAATAATTGTTGAGCACTTATTGTATACCAAACACATTACATATTTCATTTAATTCTTACCACAGCCATGCAGCATATAATTACTTCCAGGTTACTAAGAATACTGAGACATGGAGAAATTAAATAACTTGTTACGTCTGCAAATTTTAACAGTTGAAATTCAGATACAGTTTGTCAGTAAAACTTGGATTTAGGCCGAGAGCCTAATTTACTTCACCTCTAAAACAAGAGTTTAGGCAAAGTGACTTCTATGAAAGCCTCTAAGAGTTTATGAATTCTAAAAGTCAGCATGTCCCAGATATGTTCTGTGAAATATGAATTCCATGCAGAGGCAAGGAACTCTTCATAGGATTTATGTGGAAATAAATTATGTAAAAGATTCTTTACTATGTAACTTTTCAAAGCCCTTAATATAACTGGCATTAATATTAATATAACCGGCATTATTAAGTCTTGTTAGTTCTCAGGACATTTCATGGGATGTGAATTTTTAAATACATTTTGGAAAACTGCCATAAATGGTGTTAATATACCCTTTTTTTTGCTTAACTTTTGAAATTCTGTTTTTAGGTTTGAGTGTGAAAAGCTGATTCTTGTTGGGGACCCCAAACAGCTGCCTCCTACTATTCAGGGTTCCGATGCAGCTCATGAAAATGGATTAGAACAAACCCTTTTTGATCGACTTTGCTTAATGGTATATGCTGCTAAATTCTCACAGAATTATTATCTACTTATTAGATACTGTGTATGTGGCCCTATATGCTGGAGGAGGTGGGTTCAAACCCAGCCCCAGACAAAAACTGCAAAAAAAAAAAACCTTACATAATAGTAAATCTCTTCCCTTGTTATTACTAGCTATTGTCATGAATATGTTTAATCACTAAATATGATATTGTGTGGTTATATCATAATTCAGTTATTTCTCTACTATTACATATTTAGTTGTTTCCAGTTATAAATAATGAATCTTTGAGAATTTTTTTTCTTTTAGTGTTTCTATGCTTAATACATTTTGTCAGAGGTTTCACAGAAGCCACCTGACTTAGACTTATAAACTTAGACAGATTTATGCCCCACAGAGTACTTGGATTGGCTTTTTTCTTAAACTTTTTTCCCCATAGAAGATACTTTGTCCATGGGGTCATTAATCCTGTATTTAATTACATGTGTATTCTTATTAGAGTACCTTCTAGCTATTCAAAGTGTTCTAACACTACTACAGAACTTTGTGCAAATAAAGAACATTCCCCAGAAGAGCTGTAAAGTAGATGGGGCTTGGATCTTATGATATATGAACAAAATATAAAACTTCTTTGAAGATTAAGAATGAAAAATTACTTTTACTCAAGGAGGAAACTTAATAAATGAGTTATCAACAATGCTTTCTAATTTTTAAAAATAGTTCTTTTAAATTTAGTGTTAGGCCAATGCCAGATAGATTTTTAAAAGCTTATAGTCTGTTCCATCATGGATGTAATTCATCTTTTAAGACCACAATGTAGGCTCGGCACCTGTGGCTCAAGTGGCTAAGGCGCCAGCCATGTTCACCCAAGGTGGCAGGTTCAAATCTAGCCCAGGCCTGCCAAACAACAATGACAACTGCAAACAAACAAACAAAAAAAATAGCCGGGCGTTGTGGTGGGCGCCTGTGGTCCCAGCTACTTGGGTGGCTGAGGCAGGAGACTTGCTTGAGCCCAGGAGTTGGAGGTTGGGGTGAGCTGTGATGCCACAGCACTCTACCCAGGGGGATAGCTTGAGGCTCCTGTCTCAACAACAAAAAAAGACCACAATGTAGCAATATTTTACTTTTAAAAATACCATTTTTCTTTCTGTAGGAAGAAAAAAAACTTAGGTTTTAATTTCTTATTTTTCTGAATTTAAATTTCTTAGGGTCACAAGCCAGTTCTTTTGAGAACTCAGTACCGTTGTCACCCTGTCATCAGTGGTATTGCTAATGATCTGTTTTATGGTGGAAACCTCATGAATGGTGTTTCAGAAACAGAGAGGAGCCCTTTATTGGAATGGCTACCAACCCTGTGTTTTTATAATGTTAAAGGACTAGAACAGGTAAATAACATTAACGTTGATGGGAGTCAATATGCTTTAGTTTTCTAGTTTAATTTTATTGTCGTTTGTATGATTTTACTGGGGCTTCCCATAACCTTTCTGGGAAATATAATTTAGGCTCTGTTTCTTACTCCAGATTGAAAGAGATAACAGCTTTCATAATATGGCAGAAGCTGCTTTTACACTCAAGCTGATTCAATCACTGATAGCAAGTGGAATAGCAGGCTCTATGATTGGGGTGATAACATTATACAAGTCCCAGATGTATAAGGTTTGTATTACATGTTACAGTATTTGTCATATATTAAATATTATAATTATCTATTACAACATTTAATATTACATTTGCAGTAGTTTGGTTTGGTGCTTAAAAAACTTTTGGTACTATAATTAACATATTAAAAAAGAAACACTCTGATGTTTTTCTGGTCTGGCTTTTTTTCTGTATAATTAAATGTAAACCTAACAAGGTTTAATTAAATTTAGTTTACAGCTGTTGGGGTGAAAATTCAAATAAACAAATTAGAAGGAAGAAAATACGGTATATGCTTTGTGTTTTGGGACAGATGGAATTGAATCTCTGTTTTCCAAAATGTTCTTTGGTTATTATTACATTTTATCAGTAAATCAAGGATAGATACCAGATTAATGTACATGCCAGACAATTACTTATAACTAGGTTTTTCTTTCAGTATTTTTTCATCTGTTTCATCATTATTTATCAGCTTCAAATTAGCATATCTAAATGAATTCCCCAGCAAGAAATCAGTCATCACTTTTTTTTGCAAAAATATTTTATTTCAAATACTAAGGACGTACACATGTTTTTGTTACCTTTTGACACCTTTTGTAATGCGTAAGTCAGGGCTTTTAGTGCACCATCCAAATAGTGATCATTGGCCTCAACAGGTAAGTTTTTACTTTTCCCCCATTCTTGATTTCCACTGACCTTTATATCTCTTAATGTCCATGAATACCCATTAATTAGCTCCAAATATTAGACAGTACACATTCCTTTTGATTTCATTTCATAATTAATATTGTCATCTAGTCATTTATCATTTTAGAAACTAGCCAAGTCTATGTGAAACATAAAAGAGAATGAAAATTATCCAATATTAGTTAAAATGGTTGCTTGTGAGCAGGTTCAGAGGCTTAAGTTCTTCCATCTGTTCCCTGATGACCCCTGTCTTCTTTTCTTTACAGCTCTGTCATTTACTGAGTGCCGGGGACTTTGACCATCCTGATATCAAAAGTGTGCAGGTGTCCACAGTAGATGCATTTCAAGGAGCTGAAAAAGAGATCATTATTCTGTCCTGCGTAAGAACACGACAACTAGGATTCATTGATTCAGAAAAAAGAATGAACGTCGCATTGACCAGAGGAAAGAGGCATTTGTTAATTGTGGGAAATTTAGCCTGTCTGAGGAAAAATCGACTCTGGGGGCGTGTGATCCAGCATTGTGAAGGTAAAAAAAAACAAAAAAAAAAGTTCAAGAATTTTGAATTAACACTGACTTTTATGAGTTAATGCTTGGGATGAGTCCAGGCAAGAACAGCTCTGCATTTGCCACTGTGGGAGGTGACTGATATAACAATAATAAGGAAACCACTATAAAATGAAAAATAGTTGTCTTTCTCTCTTTTTTTTTTTTTGCAGTTTTTGGCCAGGGCCGGGTTTGAACCTGCCACCTCTGGTATGTGGGGCCAGCCGGAGCCACAGGCACCGCCCTGTCTCATGTTTTCTATTTTTTTTTTTTTTTTAAGGAAGGGAAGATGGATTGCAACATGCAAGCCAGTATGAACCACAGCTGAACCACATCCTTAAAGATTATTTTGAAAAACAAGCAGAAGAAAAGCGGAGGAGAAAGAATGAAAAAGAGAAAATCTAAAGATAAATCTCATTTACAAAAAAGACATGGTGTAAATATTTTATATTTTAAGTAAAGTCAGATTCATTTTACGTCAGATATTTTTTATATTTTTATTATACTAAAGCCCCCATTATAAAAATATCTTTTGATATTTAAATAACATGCTAAACTCATCTAAAATGTTTTTTCATAAAAGTATATATTATTTATATTAAGACAGATATTGAAGGTAAAATAAAATCCTAATAGCCATAATTATTTTTCTAAAAATTGTATTTTTTATTTGCTAAAGAAATGACTTACACAAGGCACAGGGCATGGGGAATACCAATGTATTTCAGTAATACATGAATATTTCAAAATTCATCTGTTAGAACATATTTACACAGTCAAGTATGTCAACAGCCCTTTCTGTGTTCTAAGTCTGTCAGAATCTTTTAAATACAATGTCTCACCATTTTATAAATAAAAACATATTCACAATAAAACTTTCAAGAAGTAAAAAGAAAAGAAAGGAAAACCCTAGAAGTTCACAGTAGGAAGTAGCAGTGCTCAACACCTCGCCATGGGTAGCATCTAGCACCATATATGGTATAGTAGGTTCTCAGTAAATATCCATTGGATGACTGGACAGATCAATGAAAGATTACCTTTGGTTCCTTTCCTTCTGGTCTTTTTCCTGTGCATTTATTTGCATAATAGTTATTGATATCTGTGTGTTATTGATATATGTGTAATATATATGGATTAAACCTTTTCTTTTTAAAATAGTACATTATCCTTGTAGTAAATTGCATAATATAAGAAGGTATATAAAAGAAAACAAAAATCACATAGAAAGCAACCACCCAGAGATAATCATTATTAATGTACTGCTTCAGTCTTTCTTCTATACATATATTCTACATGTATATGTATAGAGAGGTTTTCAACCATTTGAGTCCATACTAGTTCTTAGACATTACTAACAAAGGAATGATTTACACATCCTAGATGGAAAAATGACAAGGGTTTGATTGTGATTAATATCAGTGAACTTAAAAAATAATTTAATTAAACATCAGTGAATTTAAAAAAAATGACTCAAGTCACTCAGCATTCATTTTAAAGATGCAGAAAATTGCTACTTGAATGAATTCTCAATAAAAAGATGACCAGTCAACTTCTATGGAGTGCTTTTCTTTCTGTTAGGGAGAAAAATGAACAAAACTTGTGGTTGAGTCATTCTCCAGCCCTTCTATCAAATGTGATACTGATGGCAGCAACAGTTCTTCATCCAAACTGGTAAAGATGTGACTCCCAATGATTTCTTACAGCTGGTAAGGAATAGTTGAAGGAAGTATTATTGAGCCATACTTTACCCATAAACTGTACAATTGGACTAACAACATATATTTAAACTGGATTCCTGAGTTTTGCTGCCCAAACCTCCCCTTTTTTTAATTTCTTAATTTTGAGCCTGTTCTTGGCCAGCTGGAGCTTGATCTAAAGTAATTTTGTTTTCCCCGGGAGAGTATATAGATGAGATGATGTATCTATTGGGCCTTTGTAGATCTGAGAATGTGTTCTGTTCCATACACTATGCAGACATTACAGGAGTCCCTGTGGGTGATAGCTGAATTTCCTTCTCAGATCTACTGCTGGATGGCTGATCGACAATTCTTAGTCCAACTCCTACTAGCTTTTATTTAGAACTGTCCAAGAGCTCTGACACAGTGCTCTGCATTAGCGCCTGTGCTATCATTAGTTCCTACCCTCTGCCTCTCACTTTGTCAGTTTTCCAGAAATTTCAATTTCTGCAGCAATGTAGGGAGAGGTATTGAGCACACAGAGTAGGATTTCTCAACTTCAGTACTGTTGACACTTTGGACCAGATAATCTTTGCTGTGGGGTTTGCTCTCTTGTGCTTCAGAGGATGTTTATCAACATCCCTGGCCTCTGCCTCATAATGCCAACAGCACCTTATTCCCAGTCGTGACAACTAAGTGTCTTCAGACTGCCAAATATCCTGAGGTGAAGGGTGGACCCAGCATTCCAGCTATCTGAAAGCAACAAGTACATTTAAAATTAGGGCTGCACCTATTTTTTGGTCGGTATAAATTTTTGATCCAGGTAAGAGTCAGTAAAGGAGACCAAAGATTCTTTGTATTTTAGGGTGAGCTGCTTTCTAATGGCATGATATAGGTGGTCTACCATTATGTTTTCAGTCTTATTTCAGCATCCTGGCCATTCATAACTATTCCAATTTTTTTCCTTTTTCTAATTTATAGGATCTTGTAATTAATGGAAAGCTAAAACCCAATTAGCAGAAAATATCATTGGTCTTGCACAATTCTCTCTTGTGAATTGGACAACCCTTTTCATTCTTCCTAGTCCATCTGCATAGTTCACTGTGGGGTTTTTTTGTTTTTTTGAGACAGAGTCTCACTCTGTTGCCCTGGGTAGAGTGCCGTGGTGTCACAGCTCACAGCAACCTCCAACTCTTGGGCTCAAGTGATTCTCTTGCCTCAGCCTCCCAAGTAGCTGAGACTACTGATGCCCGCTACAACTCCCTACTATTTTTTTGTTGCAGTTGTCATTGTTGTTTAGCTGGCCTGGGCTGGGTTTGAACCCACAACCTTCAGTGTATGTGGCTGGCACCATTAACCACTGTGCTATGGGCGCCGAGCCTGTGTTAAGCACTCTTTACACCAGACACTTCAGCAAAGAAATATAGTGAGGGGGGATGTAAAATGGCTTAGTCTATTTCTTTGCTTCTCCCCTTCCTTTAGCCTAGGATGGAAATTCCTATTTCAGGTTTCTTTCCCTCTGGTAGACTTAATCAGTAGATATGGTATTGGTGGTTTTGTCTCCAGTTTTAACCTTTCCCATCGTGGGCTGGGTCACAGAGTGTCATCCCAGGGTATAATGTCAGCTGCAGCAGACCTGGTTTATATCTAGAGGTCAGATCTTACACAGTGTGCTTGCCCTGCCCCCGTCCATCAGAGCACAAGCGGCCTTCACTCATTCCTTTTCCCTAAGTTTGTTACAACAGAAATGAGGCAAGAGACACTTAATTTTCGCTTCTTTATTTCCTTCAAAGATCAAATAAGAAGAGCAGGGGATATATTGGCTCATCCGTATTATCTTTCTTCAAGAGATTAATAAATGAGAAGTTTCTTCTGATTAGGTGGTGTTGACTACTGTAGTCTTTGATTCATCCTATATTTTGAGCAAAAACATATCTGAACTATGAATATTTATTTATATGGCCATTACATGCTTATGAAAAAAACTAAAATTATATTTGAAATAAATTTCCCAAGCCCAGGCTAACATATTAATTATTCATCTAAAATTCCAAGTTGGATAGACAAGACATAAATTGAACTTTAAGAAGTAGCCCATGTAATAATCAAAATATTAAAATTGCTCATGATTTTACAATATAATTGAAGTTATAAGCCAGTTTTATAATTATAACTGTCAAATATCTATAGATAATAATCTTAAAACCATGTCTCCCAACTTGTGTTTAATAAATGATAGGATTATATAATGATGTTCTCAGTATTTTTATTCAAAGAATAAGTCTATTCACATATTAAAATAGAATGAAATTTCTAGTCTATAATCCACTCATCATTGATTGCCTTCATGTAGTATGTGTGTTGGGTTTTTTCCAAGATTATTTCATAAACATCATTTTGATCCCCAGTAAAGGGACAGATATTTTTCCCCATTTTATTTATTTACTTATTTAGACTGTCTCACTTTGTCACCAGGGTAGAGTGCCATGGCAGGATTGCTCACAGCAACCTCAAACACTTGAGCTTGAGCAATCCTCTTACCTCAGCCTCTCAAGTAGCTGGGACTACAGGTACCCACCATGATGCCTGGCTAGTTTTTCTATTTTTTAGTAGAGACAGGTCTGAATCTTCCTCAGGCTGGTCTTGAACTCCAGAGTTCAAGCAACCCACCCAGCTCAGCCTTCCAGAGTGCTAGGATTACCAAGTGAACCACTGTGCCGGCCTATGTTCCCCATTTTATAAATGATAAAGCCTAAGATCTAAGAAGGTGAAATGATCCCCCTAATTTACCATAACTAGTATGAGGCGTAGCTGGGACCCAGGCTAATCCAACTCAGAGACTGGGTTACTCGGCACCACTTGCACTGTAAGTCACACCACTTTATCGAAGAGTGAAAGACACTGAACTAGGCTCAGCGCCTGTGGCTCAAGTGGCTAAGGCGCCAGCCACGTACACCCAAGGTAGCAGGTTCGAATCCAGCCCAGGCCTGCCAAACAATAATGACGGCTGCAACCAAAAAACAGCTGGGTGTTGTGGCAGGCGCCTGTGGTCCCAGCTACTTGGGAGGCTGAGGCAGGAGACTCCCTTGAGCCTAGGAGTTGAAGGTTGCTGTGAGCTGTGATGCTACGGCACTCTACCCAGGGCGACAGCTTGAGGCTCCTGTCTCAAAAAAAAGTAAAAAAAGAAAGACACTGAACCAAACATCTTAACAATACTCTTTGATTCAACCAGACTTATGTCCAGATAATTTACCTTGGTTATTTTAGTACATAATAAATTAATATTAACAATTTATCTGTTGAACAATAAATTATTATTGGGGCCACATATGGCCTACTGGATCCTTGAATGTGGCCTTTAGACCGAATCAAATTGTACGGAACAAATGTTTTTATAATAACAAAGGGATTTGCTCCCTAAAGTTTGGATTCTGTGAAGTTTGGATTTGGTCAAGGGGCCACACTTGGGGATCTGGAGGGCCATATGTGACACCAAGGCCACAGGTTCCCCACCTCTCCTGATAAAAATAATTTTTACTAGAAAAATGGGTTTTTTGCCCTCTCTTTGAATGTTTTTGAAGGTCTACATTTACTACTAGAAGATCAGGTTTTCTACTTAATGCAAGAGAAAAACTGATTATTAACAAAATCAGTATTAATAGCTGAGCTAGTAATTCTCAAAATTCTTATAATTATCAAAAATAGAGCCGAGCATGGTAGCCCACATCTGTAATCCTGGCCCTTTAGAAGGTCCACGT